TTCTATTCTATTCTATTCTATTCTATTCTATTCTATTCTATTCTATTCTATTCTATTCTATTCTATTCTATTCTAACATTGCCTTTGTTATATTGTCACAGAAGCAGAATCCTGCAAGTCTGAAAGTACTTTTCGCCTCCATTTCCTTTACTTTTCCGATAACTAGGGAGGGACCCTTCTGAGATGCTTCCTCCATCATCATTCCTTCTGTAGGCTGATATGTCTTTTGTCTGATCACTGTGAAACTGAATCTCCTCCTCCTGTTCTTCCCAGATTATTACATCAGTTGTGGCTTATTATCACCACTTAAATAATTTCCCAACTTATGTGTATGTTTTTTTTAGGCACTGGATATCCCAAGAATGCTAGAAATGCTGAGGCAGCAAAGGATGATGATGGTGCAAACCCTAAGCCAATACACATTTGTCTATGGAGTTCTCATCCAGTTTCTTAAGAGTTCAAGGCTTATATAAGTTTTCTTCATTCAAGCTTCAAAAGTCTCCTTCTTTTCAAGAGTTTACAAAAGCAGACGTTTGCCTCCCAGGATTACATGAAGTTTAAAAATTCTGTATGCAACTGGGCATTGCTTTAGCAGAGTTCATGTTGAAGCTGAAAGGAATGTGTGTGTGTTGGGGAGCAGTGGTTTGAAATGGGAATGATTCATTGGGTTCTTCCGATGAAACTGTGTTCATGGCAGGCATACAACTGCTGATCCTAGGAAGACATTACTGCACTGTACTGAAAATCATGATGGTTATATCATTATGAATGGAAAGCTATACTGATGTATACTTGTGGATAGACTGTGGTGAAAGAAGTGTGCCCTGCCTATACAGTAGTGATAAATGGCATCATTGTGCTTGAGTTTTTTATTTCAATCTCTGTGAATGTTTGTGTGTGTGTGTGTGTGTTGATTTTTATATTGCAACCAGCATCACCAACAAGCCATTAAAGGAAGCACTTAAGACAGAGAGTGTATTGTTATTTTTTTGCCAGAAGTGGGGCACTACTCTAGAAACTGCAGGCTACAGACAGCATGCAATAAAAGAACATTAGTATTTGGCTTAAGATTTGTAACAGGAAAAGAGTTAAATGGAAGATGGTAACAGGTGGTAACATTTGTGGTACATTAAACAAATAGTTGGCAAATCTTTGAAGGGAAGAGAAAGAAAATAAGATGGTAAAAGCGAGGACAAAATTTACAGCTGCTGCTGTAAGGAAATTATTGTTGGGTCACATTCTAGGTCAAAAAGTACAATAAAAGAAAAAGGTTATCCTAGGAAATTGTGTGTAGTTCCTCAAAACTTCAGAAAGTAATAATTAATGAAGTGTAGCTCCAGAATGATTTCTTTAAGGAACAGCTTGTTACTTCTGATTGAAATCAAGTTGAATACAGATGAATATTTAAACACTGGTTTAAATATTTTATTTATCTAGAGAAACGGTATGTTTATCTGCTTAGCCTGCAAATTTCATTTTAGAAAAAGGTATTGAATGTGGAGCGAGTACAAAAGAATTTGACTTAATGTGGAATGTGGTTATTGGGCTGCATAATTTAGCAAAGTGGCAGTAAAATTGCCTTTGTTAATAATTCCCTATCAAGAAAGTAAAAAAGAAAAGAAAAAGGATGAATGTTTTTTAGTCACCAAATTTATTTCTCTTTTCCTCTGGATAATATCTCCAAAGCAGCCTCTCCAATAACATTATGCTAACATTAGAAAGTCTGCATGCTTCTTAAAGCAGAAATGACTGATGGAAAGTGTACATGTGAAAAGCAAGAGTTATGTATTTTCCACTAGGCTGTATAGTTGTACCAAAGAGGATGGAAGGGAGGGAAAGTTGGATGGATGCATGAATGCTTCAGGCAGCTGTACAACACAGTAAGCATAGTACGATACTTCGAACAACATGGGAGCTATTTCTTCAAAGCAGTACAATGTGTCCTTTTGAGAGTATCATATTTTATTAAGCCAGAAGTCAAACTGATCTGTGTTTGTGGTGCAGACTCTAAGGAATGTTTCTTGTAAACTTTAGTTTACAAGAATGCATTATACATTCTCCGGCTGAGATGCCAAAAGGTGTTTCTGAGATGCTTAGATTATTTGATTGATCTTTATGGCAAAAAGAACAATCAGATGGGTTGATACTAATGATACTAATATCCAGTGTGCAATCTCGATGTTCCTTGTTTTTTTTTACCACTTGGGAGCTGTGTATATGAACTGGTTTTCCATGCAATTTTTACAAGGTGATAGTAGCAGTTTTTGAAAACAATCCATTGAAGATGTTGGCTTTTGCCGATCTTCCTTGAACTGGCATTTCATTTTGAAAACACTACCTTCTTCAAAAGAGCTTTTCAGGAAAGTTAAGATATCCGGCATGAACTTTTGATGGCGGGATGGGGCTATGCATTAGGGCGGGCTGAAGATACATTTGGAAGTGTTAGTGTCTACAATACTGTACAATAATTTGCAAGATGATGTTCCTAAAGCATTCACTTTAACTTTTGAAATGCAGTATGGTAGTCCAAGTCCATAAAGGTGTGTTCCAAATAGTTTTTGAAAATTCAAATTTTAATTTTTAAGTCTTGGTTAAATTCTATCTTTTGGCTCTCCGACGTTCTGTGAAAAAATGTTCAATGTAAAGTTTTCTGTATAATGAAACTGTTTGCTGTTTATTTGGGCCTGGCTTGCGCAGCACAAGGTAGAAAGGTAGAAGTGGGAAATTAATATTATGGATGAACCTATTTATGAAGTCAGAGCTCAAGGATTCTGCTCGTCTGTTTCTCTGGTGGGATATCTTCTAACAGTTATACTTGGTAGGGGTGGGGTGCAAGAAAGAATAAAATGATTTCTCTGTTCTGCGCTTGAATGGTCTTAATTAGCATGCACTACAGAGCAAAATGAACTGCAAAGTGAAGTCATCCTCTAAATATCTAAATATCTAATATCTAATATCATCCTCTAAATATCTAAATTATATACATTTGCTAACTTTGATAGACTGTTGCAAGCAACGTGATTTATATGGTTGCCTTGCTGTCTGTGATTGTATGTGGTTTGTAGTTCTTAAAGCTAAGTTCAAGATCAGATTTATAAGCTATGACACTTACAAGGAAACATCTTAGATGACCTATTCCAGTGCAGTGAAGGAGATGTGAAAAAAAAAATCTCAGTGGCACAATATTGTACTGTCCAATCTAGGTACAATCCAGATAACTATGGGGGATTACTCCTTTCTTTGTGAAGCCTACTCTTTTCCTTCCTAATCTGAAAAATGTAATTTGTAGATCAAATTACTGCAGATAAACTCTAACATCATGAGTAGGAGGGGAAATATTTTGAAGAATGTAAAAGACTGGAAAGAGAGAAGAATGCTATCTGAGTTGAGGATCTTGTTGCTACATACTGTAGGGACCAGTTTCTTTGCCTTGCACTTGTCTTTTTGGGCTATCAGCTTCTTTCCAACTCAGTTGTTGCTCTATTTTGAATGTATCCTTTGGGCATAATTTTCTTTAAACTGCATTTTATGTTTTGAACAAACTACTAAATGAACTAGTATGTTGTTTGGCCAAAATCACTGTTGACATGATGCTGTGTTTTGCAAAGAAGCAAGTGCCACTGATTTTTTTTTTTTCTTCAGAGGTGCTAAATAAAATATCATTGGCTTTAATATAGATGAAACAAACCACATAGTTGTGGTTTGTGTATTATAATGCATGTCTTTTTAAAATTCCACTATATTTTGTCCTCATTTTTTGAGCACAGATTGAGAAGAAATTATGCCTAAATATATATTGAGGGAAGTTATGTGCCATTTTATTTTATTAGAATCACCTTTAAACATATGGAGTTTGAAACAATCTAAAATGAACTTTCAGGTTCCAGAATAAAAATGAGCAGTTAGGTTCGCTAAAATACGTTCCTGTTAAATCTTCATAAAAGCTACAAAAATAACCAAACTTGGTCATAATTTTTTTTACAGACAAAATACATAAAATCAACAATGTCAAACTTTCTTTGTAATGCTGTTTTCTTGTATTCACCATGGACCCAAAACATGTCCGACCTCATTTGTTGAATTACTGTGAGACAATTTGAATTCATACCACTACAGTGGTATGGAATTTATTTTGAATTATTCAGTTCTGGGCTTTCTGCCAAGAAACTACTCGGGCAAGATGAATGAGAGCCAGTTTAGCCTAGTGGTTAAGACACAGGTTAGAAGCCAAGAGACTTTGAGTTCTAGCTCTGCCTTAGTCATGAAAGTTGGCTGGGTGACTTTGGCCCAGTCATTCTCTCAGTCCAGCCCACTTCACAGGGTGGTGGTTGTGGGGAAAATAGGAGGAGGAAGAAGTGTTATGTATGTTCTGTCTTATTTATAAAAATAATAAAGGCAGGTTTTAAAAAATCTAAATCTAAGAGTACTGCACATTCCCACGCCAGTAGAGTCCTTCCAAGGGACTGAACAGCACTTGTTTGGGGAAAAATTGCAGTACATCATGAACATCATTCATGTCCTGCTATACTAGAGACCTGGGTTGAAGTCCAAGAAAACAGCTCCCATGCTACTCTTCTAATGTATGAAGATGTAGAGCTTGAAATTAGTTTTGGGTAAAAGTAGCAATATTGCATCATGTTGCATCTTGAAATAGATGCCTCAACATCCCACTAGCCTTAAGCAATTAAATCTATGCAAAGAAAAGACAGTGGTTTTTACACAATTTCTCCTTTTTTACGTCAGTATACAAGGATTGAGTAGCACATCTCAAAATTGAAGTATTATTTTTTAATGTCAAGCTAAAGTGTTTTTTACACATAAGATCTGCTTTGTCTCTATCAAGTGTAAAAATGTATAATTGCTGCAGCTTTAAATCATGTACAATTGAGATGGGTTTTTAAAACAATGTGCAGATTATATTTGATAGAAAGGGTTGTTTTTCTTTGATATGTAATATATGTGAAATGAATTATATTATAGTCTATTTTTGCCATGAAAATAAATATTCGAAGCGCTTCAAACCTGAGTTGTTTCATAACTTTATTGAATACTGATCTTTTGGACATAAATAGAAATAATAATACTGAATACAATATAAAACTCAATCCATTTCATAATCCAAAACAGGATACCTTCAAATATGTTGCGTAGAATAATTTATTATAACAATTCCCAATGGTGTATTGCACAACATTTGAGATTATTTAGTTGCAGGCATTGATACTACAGAAGTAATATCCTTTAATATTGGCAAAGACAGAAGAAAACTCTTATTTCCAGGAACTTTGTGGTGGTATGGAGCTTAAGATCATTTCTGTTTGAACACAAGAAATAAAGAGATTGGGCAAATAAAAGTTGTAAATAGCTTTCTTGGTGGAGATTAACAATGTTGTATAGCTTAAAACAGAAATGTTAACTCGTTCGTTTTGGAGACTAAAATACATTTTTGTAAAAAAAATTAAAACGTTAATATCTTACAAAGTTAAGTTTATTACTTGGTATTACGTAAAACCCTATGCAAGAATGTTGAAGCCTTGCAAGATTTTGACAATTTCTAACTTTTTAAAACATAAATTGGATACTCTGCCAAGTTCATCCATGAGTGTTGCAGGAGCCAAATTGTTGGGATTAATAAAGAGATTGGATTCAAGTCCCCACTGAACTGTGAAGCTCAATAGGGTGCCCAGTTTTTTGTGGCATCTTTGTCACAAAGTTTTTGTGCAAGAATTATTTTGGAAAGAATATAAATTGCTTTGAGCTTCCAAGAGAAAAATCTGTGATACAAGCAATTAAATAAATATTAGAAAATTATATACAGTGCTTGACACTACATTGGGAAGAAACTGGAAGACTGGAATATATCCTGGAAGAAAATGTGTGACAAACCGTTGAAGGCACTAGGTATGCTTAGACTGGAAAAGAAAGGACAGGGAGAGTGCTGGACATCAGGAAAATTTTCCTAATGTTAAGAACGATTTAGCAATGGAGTAGAGTACTTCAGAAGGTACTCCTGCTGGATGCTGTGGTAATAGATTTCTGTATTGAGCAGATTAGATTACATCAGGCATGTCCAACCTTTTGGCTTTGCCTGGGCTGCATTGAGTGAAGAATTGTGTTGGATTGACTATAAAATATATATTCAATCCAACATATAATGAACTTCCTTTATTTTGGGGAGGGGCTGCATACTAGTTGTTCAGTGCCACATGCAACTAAATGATCTTCAAGATATTCAACCAACCCTTACATTCTCATACTAAAGAAACAAATTATGAGTCATCAAGACTCAATAAAACATGTTGTCATGAAGACAATCTAGGTAGAATATGGAAATACCACCAATTGAAACCTCTAAATTGCTGGCCCTGCTTCAGTCAGGATTGGTAGACATTGAGAGTTTCCTTTAATTATTCAAAATCCAACTACCCGCAGTCAACCAAGTGAGAAATGTTGGGACTAAATTCTTTGCCCTGCAATAGCAGCTTGAGGGTTGGAGTGGGTAGATTGTCACCAGAGAATTTGCTTACCTTACAGAGCAGAATCCCGATTCACAGGTACACTCATTTGTCTTTTATTTTGAGAAATGACAAATAAGCAGAGCCGTTTAAATAAGGTGGATAGAGTTTAGAGCATATTTGTGATGAAAGAGCACCTGCTGCTCCCAATTGTTCCTGTTTTAAAGCTTTCTAAAATTGTGGCTAACCCCCCCCCCCAAATAGAGGGATTTTCAAAATATCATCAGCTGGACAGGATAATGATTTCTAAGCATGTTTTGTTTGTTTCATTTAATTTCTTATTAAAAATTTACTCCTCCCTCCTTGGGACTGAGATCATGCAGTCCTCCCTTCATTTGAGATAGGAAAACAATTTCTCAGCAAACCAATTTATAACTCAAAACACCCCAACACTTCCATTTTTGAATAAGTTGCAGCTTCCAAACTACTTGTCCCTTTGAGTGGCAAACACCAAATTTAAACCAACACATCTCATAGTTATTTACTTAGTTTACATAGTTATTTACTATTTACCTGGTGTTATTTACAGTGCTATATATTTTCAAAGTATTTGCATTTAATGAACAAAGCAACTGGGAAAGTTTTTTTTTAAAGGGGGGGAAGGAATGCCAAACAGCTTGTTAATGACTATTATTTTTGGATTTTTTCAGTTGAGATGATTAATTGTTAATGACTATTTTTGGAGTCCTTCAGTTGAGACAATTATTACATAATTATTTAATAATTATTACTACATAGACTTCTGTAAAGCCTTTGATTCAGTGGTACACGACAAACTAATCCTAAAACTAAAATCTGATGGTATCTCTGGACACCTGCATAACTGGATAGAAGCATTCCTGTCAAACAGACAACAAATGGTCAAAATTGGGAGTGTCCTATCAAATTCTGTACCTGTCAACAGTGGTGTCCCCCAAGACAGTGTTCTAGGACCAACTCTCTTCATACTCTACATAAATGTCCTCTGTGATCATATTAAGAGCAACTGCGTTCTCTTCACTGATGATGTAAAGCTGTTCAATACCAGACAATACTGCCACCCTTCAAAAAGATCTTGACTATGTATCAGAATGGTCAAACAAATGGCAACTTCAAATCTCAACAAATAAATGCTCTGTCTTACATATTGGCAAAAAAATATCAGAAAATAAAATACAAGCTGAATAGTCAAGACCTTGTCGATGATCCAAGCTCTGTAAAGGATCTTGGAATACTCATCTCTAATGATCTAAGTGCTAGAGCCCTCTGTAATTACATAGCCAAAAAGGCATTAAGAGTTGTTAACCTAATCCTAAGTAGCTTTTTCTCTGGTAATATCACACTACTAACTGGACCATACAAAACATTTGCTAGACCAATACTCAAATACAGCTCATCAGTCTGGAACCCACATTACGTATCTGATATTAGCACAGTTGAGAAAGTCCAGAAATATTTCACAAGAAGAGTTTTCTACTCGTTGTAGAATACCTTATACCACCAGACTTGAAATTCTAGACCTAGAAAACTTTGAATTATGCCGTCTTCGGTCTGATCTAAGTATGGTATATAAAATCATACATTGCAATGACTTACCTGTCAACGAATACTTCAGCTTCAACCATAACACAAGAGCACACAATAGATACAAACTCAAGGTTAACCGCACCAAACTTGATTGAAGGAAATATGACTTCAGCAACAGAGTGGTCAATGTCTGGAATACTCTACCTGACTCTGTGGTTTCTTCCCCAAATCCCAAAAACTTTAACCTTAGACTGTCTGCTATTGACCTCACCCCTTTCCTAAGAGGTCTGTAGGGAGCGTGCATAAGCGTACCAACGTGCCTACCGTCCCTGTCCTATTGTTTCTTTTATTGTTCTTCTATGTACCCATTTCATGTATTCATAACTATGTATATATTTATACCTATTATCTTGTAAGCATTTGACAAATAAAAATAAATAAAAATAAAATAGTTCTAAAGTGGGTATATGTTCCTACAGTAAATTTAGCACTTTGAAGTTCATTTGAGAAAACAGCTGCTTTCCAAACAAATAGCATATTTCTAAATACAAGATTTATAGAATTAAATTTTGTCAACTCAGCATATTCATATGTCTGAGTCTGACATAAATACCAGCTAGGTTCAATATGGTCAGATTATTTACTTACCCTTAACTCAACCTCTTTTTCACCCAAAACCAGTTAGCTATGCCCAGTACATCAAGCTGCAGATGTAAGAGAAAAGACACAGGCCATTTAAGCTCCTTTGCCAAGAGACAAGCTTCAATGTCTTTCCCCCCCTAAAATTTCCATTTAAGCTAGGTTTGGGTAAGAAATCTACCAACTTTAGA